GAATTTTCCGACAACTCGCCAAATTCGCGATAAACAGTAAATAAACTATACGCGTTCCCGAGCAACTTAAGTCGCTTGTGGTCATTCTTCACAGCAACTAAGTCGCTAAACTGAAGTCCCTCAGGAATTCATCTGTCGGACTCACGGTTGTAACGCGGCCGTAATTTTCTGATTTACTATAGTATTCACCCCTTGGACCACCATTTCTTCGTAGGTTGTTGTACCGTTGATCAAGTCCAGAAGAGCAATTGCTGACATGAAGTTACTGTTACCCTCCGGGCCCATGGCTGCAACTCAGATGAGCAGCAAAACGAGCATTAATGTGGGGCAGTGTACCATCGACCATTCCGTCTCTGGAATTATATGGTGCATATCCCAGTGTAGTATCAATCACCCCTCGAGCGAGCTCTGCTCTCTGTGAGAGAGTCCAGCTTGTGATATTCTAAGTTTTTGCGTCCATGACGTGTCAAACGATGAAGAACTCTACTACATGCTCAAAACCAAGACTCAACGGTGTATATCCACCCACTGGGAATGTCATAATTCGTGCTTTGCGCAAAGGCCAGGTCCGGGCCTTGGGACAAAACTTTGACTAACACCAAGGCTAACGTCACGTGTAAAGCCAAGGAGGACATTAGTAGATCGTTGTTGCGTAGTTTGAGATTGAGAGAGGGCAGCACACAGTTAGAGTACAGAGCCCTACTTATACATCACGTAGTATTGGCGAGGTGATTTGTGGCTGTAATTGAGGTTGGCAATTTGCGCATGACAGCTGTTGAAAACCCTACGATCGCAGCACCGTGGTACAGCTCTCAGGTACAGATATTATCAGTTGAGAGAACCATCGTCACCCTTTTGCAAAGGGCTGGAATAGGCGCAGCCTCGGTATTTGCCCACGTTCAAGTTAAAAGACTGCGTCACGGCGCTGTGTGATGCCGTCCTAAAGATCTTGAGAGATCATCAGCCTTTTGACTGCCTGGAGTATTCCTGTTTGTTATCCGAAGACACAGAAGACCCGCAAGTACTGCACACTCCAATGCGAGATGTTTCCCCTGATCCAACAGACCCTTCTTCCGAGACTGCAGTCCGAACTTTAGGCTCCAGCAATGTTTTCAACTCGTGTTGCTCTGCTACGCAGAAGCGATGTTACGCTAGTAAGCTGGTTTGTGAATTTGTGGTTGATAGGAAATTAGATTGCTATGACGGAAATTAGATACACAGATAGAGATGAAGGAGGGTATACTGAAAGTCCATTCATGAAGGTGAGTCATACAATAGGAGTGAGGGTGATCAAGAGTTCTAAGTAATCGAGGACGATCGGCGTAAGGTCTGCTATAAAAGTCCCTGGCTGACGACGGGTTACTAGTACATTGACGTGTCCAGTCCAGTGCGTGCAGTCCCGATTTTAACTGAATCATTGTGAAGGTTATTGACGCAGCCTTTTAAGCAAGCACCAACAATCCGCCCAACACGCTAAACACAGCAGAGACCAAAACGCCAACGACGGCAGGCGCGTCAAACGCGAGGGCGCCACTGTCCGCATTGCCCGAGCCAGAACCGGAGCCTGAAGAACCTGTTGCAGCTGCGCCGCCGCTGGTGGACGCGGGGGCAGAGGGCGTAAAGGTCGAGGGGACAGCGGCGAGGCAGGCAGAGATGGCAGACGCGACAGCGGCGCTGTTGGACGGAGCTTGTGAGTTGACAGTCGCATTACCGGCGAAGTCGCAAGACTGTGCGTTGCTGTTCGTAGCTTCGTAGAAGGCGTCCATAACGTAGGAAAGCTTCGTGGCTGTGGAAGACATGTATTAGTGAATCGATAGACGAAATATAGAGGCCGGGTTAAATGGGGGAGGCAACGACGCGCAAGTGTATAGGAGAACAGCACGAATAAGAAGAAAAGGAAAGACGTACAAGCATCGCAGAATGAAACAGCGCCGTAGACACCAGAGGTACCATTAGCAGCAATAGCGTCACAGCTACCACCTGCACCACCGAGGTCGCCGCAAGCTTGGTTGATGAGGACACCGATGATCGATGAGGGATCAGCGACGGTGGGCGTGAAGCGGCAGGCGAAGGCACTGTTAAGACAGTTGCATCCTGCGTCGTTAGGGGTGGGTGGGAGCGTAGTGCTGGCAAGGAATGTCGAATTCTGGGTTGGGCAGGCAGGGAAAGTGGTCGAGCCAGATGCACTGGGACTGTTTGGAGGGCTGGTCTGGCCATATTGCGTCTTGAGGCGGTTGAAGTCATCGCCGGTGGTGACTGTGGTTCCATCGGAGGAGATGTTGACCATCCCGAATTGACCTGCTGCACTTTGAGCCGGGAAATAGCTGAAAGCAATACCGCCGGACCAAATGTCTGTCATGGGCTCGCTGAAGAGAGTGCCGACTTCGGTCCAAAGACGAGGTGGGCATTGAACGTTGCCATATTCACTGAAATAGGCAGCGACATTGTATCCAGCAAACGCGCCGTTCTTGTTATTGTACACACTCGGCTGGGAGTCGCCGCACCACTCGCTATGGCAGGATGAGAACAGGCGAAGGATGCGAGACGTGAAAATTCGCACTAGTTATTCAAGCCAAACAAGTCAAGTGCTGTGTCCCCGTCATTACTTCCTGAGGGGTCGCAGCTGAGGTAGTTGGCGAACGGCACGAGCCAAGAGTCATCCGCGTCAATAGCGGCATAGCCGACAAGTGCCGAGGAGCTCTTCGACGCACTGTGCGAGTCGTGAGTACATATGAGGAAATGCTGTAAATAGACGGAACTGACAGGTAAGCTTTAACATCACGAGCCGCAGCTTTGATGAACGCCGCAGCAGCGGTAGCATTGGCAGTCGTGATGACTTCGTTGCCCACGTTGTATGCCAGGACGTTGTCGTACTTCGAGAAAGTATCGATGGTGTTAATATACAAGTCCAAAAGGTTCGTAGTCCACGCAGGGGAGTCACGGTCGATGGAGCCGTTCACAGGGAGGGAGAGATCGATGCTATGTGCAGGATGTTAGTCAGTAGGTAGGCTATAGCTTGGCTCAAGGAGACACACATCGTGTAGATGCCTGCTTGACTCAAGGCATTCATGCAATCGTCATGATTGAGACTAGAGTTGACACTGTAGGCACGAATTGTGTTGACTTCGAGCTGTTGTAGAAAGGGGAGATCACGAGAACATCCCGTGCTGTTTGCGAGCGCGTCAATGAAAGAATCGGGCTCTCCGAAAGCATTATTAGGGTCGTCGGGGTTCACTGTCCCTATTGCACGAGTGTGTGAGCAAACGTTCCTTCAGGGCAGAATCTAAAAATGTGGGCAACAGGACGTACCTTGAGGCTGGTAGGCAACACCCTTGATGTAGAACCTGCTACCATCCGCCTTGTAGAGGTACCTGCCCTGTCTGGTGACCTTTTGGACAGCAGAAACACCGGCTAGAGCAGCTGAGGCTACGAGGAAATATGCCAAACGAGATGCCCTGCGCATGGCTGTGAATGAAGGTGAAGGAGAGTGGGAAGGAGCGAAAGTGACCGTGGGCGGTCTCAACACGGTTAACAGCGCTTGTCCTGAGAAACCACACCACAAAGACTCTCGGCGCGGGCATCACTCTCCGGTAACCATCTCCGACTTTGATACAAAAGGGTCAAGTGTGTATTGGGCGACGTGTATTGTATCGCCCGCCTAGCTCAATCGGATAGAGCGTCAGACTCTTACGAGTGCGGGTGTATCACACCATGTGATCTGAAGTGGGTTCGACCCCCACGGTGGGCTAATGGTTTTGTACCTTTTGCTCATCTATAATTAGCTAGTTCAGTAAGTTCACTTTTTGAAAGATGTTCAGTACCAGACTGTACAGAAGATTTTCTATTATTTGTACTTACACCAGCT